TCAAATATTTTTACACATCTGAAGTTCAAATCGGATCTGAAATTTCTGCATACGCATATGATTGTAGCTCCCGCACTACTCTCCATTGGAAATGAATTACTTCCGGTCTATTGCTTGTCGTTTGTCGGAGATAGTGGAAAGGCAGCTTGAAAAACACGTTCTGTCTGATCAGGGCCTTAAGCGATATGCTGCTTTGTTTACATCGGTACCCAAGGAAACACTGTATCGCTGCTGTTCCATAAGCACCCGCCACCTGCTGTCAGAGAGTGAATATGCCTTCTCATTCAGCTCGTCAGCTGTTTTTCCTAAAGCATCCTTTCATTTGTATCTTTGTTCTATATATTCAGTTGTGCTATTGCTTGTAATTTGTTCATTTGTATTTATATTTGCTAGGCTAGTAGTTTTTGCTGTGGTATTGAAATTAGAATTGTAAAATTTAACTGGTATCTAAAATGTTGGTGTCATAAGCTTATTTATTAGAATAAAAGATAACATGAGTCAAAAACAATGATAACAGCAACTATTTTATTTATAACAGAACCACACAGTAATAGGGGTGGGGGGGAAAATCGATACAGTATAGTATCGCGATATTTTCCACGGCAATACTGTATTGATACACGGACGCCAAGTATCGATCTTTTATTATACTATTTGGTAGAATAATAAAATCAATTTCTTTACAATCCACTAGATGGTGGTGTTGAGTTTTATTCTGGTGAGGTCAGCTGGGTCACCTTCGGCATGCAGTAAGTTATTAATATAAAGATGGCGGCATCGCGGAAAGTTATCAGGAAAGCCCCGTCCGCGTTTAAATCAGATGTATGGACTTACTTCGGATTTGTAAACAAGGAGGGGATGTAAGTAGGGATGCACCGAATTTCCGGCATCCGAAAATTATCGGTCGAAAATGGCATTTCGAGAGAACGGCCGAAAATGCGAGCCGAAAATATAGGCTACATATAATAATAATAATAATATATGGCGCGCCCGCGCCCCGCCCAGCAGTATTCAGCGCGCATGTTTCACTCTCCTCATCACTGGATGACGCTCCACTCAATATTCCGCTCTTTGAATGTGCTACACATTTCATTACACCAAATACACAAAATAATGTTCTTTTTAACAGCATCATATAACCCCTTTAATAATGCATTAGTAAATGTTGAAATTAACATGAACCAAGATGAATAAATGTTGAAAGAGCTATTATTCATTCTTAGCTCATGTTAACTAAAGTAGTTAACTGATGTTAACTAATGAACCTTATTGTAAAGTGTTACCAATATTAATATAAATTCTGTCCAGTTTTATTGTGTTACTTTCAGTAAAAGTGTGGTTATTTTATTGGCTTGTGTTTGTCATTAAAATTGAGTTACATTTAGTTAAGTCTTACAAAATTACTTTATATTATTTAATAAAATAATAAATAATCATTACAAAGCATTTTCGGTTTCGGTTTTCGGCCAAGTGCATCCAGAATTTTCAGTTTCCTTTTCGGCCCAGAATTTTCATTTCGGTTCATCCCTAGATGTAAGACTACATGTTTTATTTAATTTAATTTAAATTTAACAGTAATTTACTTTCAAATGCCCCAATTGCTGAAGGGTCTGCACAACTTTTTAGTACAATTTCAAGTTTGTCTGCTTGACAATCCCATTTTGCACTGCAACAATAAAACTGAAGTGAGAAATGTTTCTTTTTAGTTAAAACAGATGTTGCCAAAGTTTTCCTTTGGGGACATAATTTGAAGTTGGAAAAAGGTAATAAATTGCAATATATCGCAGAATATCGCAATAATATTGTATCGTGACACAAGTATTGTGATAATATCGTATCGTGAGGCCTCTGGTGATTCCCACCCCTACAAAGTAACCAACTGAGCCAGTAGAAAAACGCTGCTAATGATTCAAAGCTTGTCAATATCAAATAAGATAGTCATTCTGTAAATGTTACTGTTAAAGCTGCCAAAAATAGCCTAACAGGCTTCATAGTCTATAGTCACCGTGGTTAGGGTGCATAAAAATCAAATGTAAGATTTTCACTTTGGCCCTAGCATAAAGTCGTTCCACTTAAGTCAGACAGCAAATGTGCAAAATATTTAAAAAAATAAATGTCTACCGGGTCACATAAGATGCTAAATATCATTACAGTGTCGCAAATAAGCATACAAGTTTTAACAGAACAAAAATAATAACCAGTTTCTGGCACTGTTGCTATCATTTATTGATTTTTTTTTTCTTTACTTACTTAAGTGACAATGTGATGTAGTAACCCATCACTGAAAAAAATTTAAATGTAGGATTTACTTGATAGAATATTCTTAAAAATTTGCACTAACAAATTTTAAGTAAACTTTACTGAAACTGCTCTGTACTGTACAACTGACCTGTTATTGTCGCGTAAAATCTACTTACTATTGAACTCAACATTCATTAAGAAATTAAGTTTACTTAGTCAAAGCTTACTTGGCAATACTTTGATTTTACTCTGTATGTGCTACTCAGAAACATCTAACTAAATAATAGAATAGATATCATGTAGACACCGTATCTACATAATTAGTAATGCAGCACTCACACAAACACAGACAATAATAGGTACAATACACAATGATGGTAACATTCTGTGAATTGTTTTTGATTGTGAATGTGCCATTTTGAGTAGAAAATGAAGATGTAACAAAAAATATGTAACAAAATTGCAAGTTAGCCTACTAAACCTAACAACAAAAGCAATGATAAAACAGTGTAAATACAGCTGGGAAACAGCCAAAAAAAAAACTTATTAATTATTCATGCCCCAGTGCATGATGGGATCACCAGTATCAGTAGGTTTTACGTAATTTTATAACGTTGATATTTAAACTTCAATTTATAATATAGAAATACTATATTAATATAGTTTTTTTTTTATTATTATTCTTGCCTGAACTAACTTTTTTTGTGTAGAAATTACATTTGTTTTTCTGTAGTATTTAATTAATCTCAGAATCATTTTCATCAGTGTACTTTGGGTTTGTCCTCTGCAATTAACCCATCTAAGTGCACACACACAGCAGTGAGTAGTGAACACGCACACCTTGAACACACTCCCGGAGCAGTGGGCAGCCGTTTGCTGTGCCGCCCGGGAGCAACTGGGGGTTCGTGGGTATTGAGGGTGGAAGATGGTGTGTGAGGGTGTTCATTCACTCCACCCACCTACATTTCCTGCCAGTACTGGGAATCAAACCCGTAACCTTCAGGTTACAAGTCCGACTCTCTAACCATTAGGCCACAACTGCACCCCACCATTTTGTCGTGAATGACTGTGCAGAGTGTGGCATCAAGCTGAGTACTGATTACCTTGATGCATCCAGATCAGAACAGCATTATCAGAACACTCTGCAGGTGGTTGCGGCAGACCGGAAACTGAGGCATAACCTAAAGGCCCCGATATACTGTACTTCAAGCAAAATCGAAGCACGAACTGATGTGACGTCATTTCGAACAAAATCTGGCCAAATGAAAGTTCGTTTTGGGAGTTCGAAATGACTTGCTGAAAAAGTCCGTCTGCAAAACACCTTCGTACTACCATTGGTCTGTGACGATTACGTCATAGTAGGTGTGCACTGAGGCTCTGCCTTCTTTCACGCGGAACTCTTCTTTGGGTTCATTTTGTCTGTCGAGTCCTTGGAAGTGAGATGTCCGCGGGTAAAAACTGAACACAGTGGAGAGCCGCTTTATAGTAGCAAGTTTTGCTTTTGATGAAATGAGACACTGACACTGTTTTTTCATGTTTAATACTGCTGCTTGCTTTTAAGCAATATGTTGAATAAAGTGCCATGTAAATACACGTGACGTGATGGGAGTGCTAATTTGCAGAGCTTGTGCAAGCATACCCATGTTGTTATGATCAGGTGCTTGCTGTTTTCTCCATTTTTGTTGTGTTTGTTTTGTTACTGAGAGGAAAGCGCGCAGCACATATTTACATATTCATATAAACGTCACTTTCATCAGAGTGGGCGGCGTTGGGATGTTCGATAACAGTATACCGCTGCTCACATATTTCGAACTTCATTTTACGCCTAAACAAAGAAAGAAAAAGAACTTTGTTTTGAGTATATCGGGGCCTTAAGGAAGAAGAATGTTGCAAACAAGTGCGCTTGATACATGTACACTATGGCATATGGCAATTGTGGCCTAATGGTTAGTCGGACTTGTAACCCAAAGGGCATGAGTTCGATTCCCGGTACAGGCAAATTTTTTTAGCATTAGATGTTTTACTGTTTTTTTTTTAAACTCATAAATACTGAATTGCAAATGCTAAGCTACACAATTGTATAATTTTCTTCATTTCCCAGGTGTGCTTGACCCGGTAAATATACAATTTAAAATATGAAATTTGGCCACAATGTTTATTACTTGATATGGCATGCATTAGACATAGGGCCGAAATATATTTCAAAACTTTTCTAAATTTGTTTTTTGTTTGGTTTTTTTATGCACCCTAAGCATGGTGTATTCGTATATATTCATATTCATATATGTATTCGATACCCTTTTGAAACAAGTCTGATTTTATTTATTTATTTTTTTCAGAAATCGCACCCTGCTAATAATTACTAATAGCATTAATAATTAAAATAAAATAGTTACAACAGTTTTCACTATGGTACCAAAATTGGCACCAAGAACCATGATGTGTTGTTACTGATATTTTTACTGGAATACTGAAATTTAGATAGATAGCTAGATAGATAAATTTCTACATTTAGAAATTTTAGTCTCATAATAATAATAATAATTATAATAATTTAATCAGTGGTGTAGTCTGTAAAAAAGTGGTTTACTATTATCCAGTCACTCACTACCACATTAACGCTTCTCTTCTTCAACACTTCACATACATATACATACAACACGTGACTACATAATGCATGCACATTTATGTGCTGAATCTCGACATACTTCTTCACATACATTCATACAAATAAAATATATGCTATTACTTGTATTTACCGTGTTTACTTAAGAAAGCTTTTCCCCAATGATGCAGTCTGTTCCTCTTCTCTTCTCTTCTTTTCTCCTTCGTGTAGATTTCCGCCAGTGTAGACGCTACTAGGCGTATTACTGCCCTCCACAGGTTAAAGTTTGAACTAAATTCTTATATACAGTGTGGTATGCAAGAACTGAAGAACTGTCTCAGAGATTAGTTTATGATTGTCACTAGCCGCTTTTCCACTGTCGGGCCAGTGCGTGCCAGGGCTAACAACGAGCCGTGCTGGGCCAATGGCCTCTCACCGACCTCAAGCTATACGGGAAGGCTGCAGACCTGGAGCAGGCAGATCTACGACCCAGGCAGTTTTACGCCCCTGTTGTTCCTGATGCGTCCAGTAGGGGGAGGAGGATACACGGCGAAATGATTAAACCGACGCTCGAAACTTCATTAATAACCGTCCCGTCCATAGACATTGACTAATTGAGTTTTTTTTTTTGGTTTGGTTTTTTTTTGTGTGTGTGAATTTAAATATAAACATTACATTAAGATATTAGATGATCTGCACTACGGATTAAAATATCTGTAAATATTAACTGTTGGTCTACATTCATAGCCTACAGGAGAGTACTGAATTAGTGTTTTTTAAAAAATACATTAACATTACACATTTAATTAGTGAATTAAAAAATTAATAACACACATATGGACATTTGGATCAAATGGACAATGTAATGATACATGATCTACTGTAGCCTAATTATATTAACTGTAGATTTTCATATATACAGGAGACGGAGTGATATGTTGTTGTGAATTTATATATAAAGTTACATTCAGATATTAACCATATTTAGCCCATCAGACATACAGTGTAATCATATGGACCATCAATGAAATATTGATTTAATATTGATTTATGCTTTAGTATTCACTATTGGTTGTCATACAGCTACAGAACAGTGTCCTACAAAGCATTTTATAAAGACAAACACAATTCACCCTTTTCTAAATTCCAAGGGCCATTTAGCCATCTGAGAAGAAAAAAACAACTTTTTTGTGTACAACAATATTATTTATTAACACCATTATTAAAAACATGAACTAGGATGACTCCCGTTGATGACTCTCTTTTAACTGTTGTTCAGTCCTCCTGTCAAAATGCTCCCACTCACTGGTAAAATAAAAAATAAAAAAAAAAGTTGGATAGTTGTAAAAAGAAATAGTTATTTGTGAATAATGGCAGATTGTCATGTTTGACCATGTTTTCCTTTATAGTATCCTTACAGTACCTTATGTAAGTGACAGGTCCTCCTCGCAGAAATTTCTCCTCAGACTTTAGGATGGACAGATTTTCCACAAAAGCCAGGGCACAGATAATGGACTACCAGAGAAAGAATTGAGATTGATCAAACACCACAAGTAGCCAAGTATCATTTCACATGTTTAGCTTTTTAGAACAAGATGAAAAGTGTCTCACATTATGGATAAACTATTTGACATTAAAAACAATGTGAATCTGACATCATGCAGAGCACAGCTAACACATGAGACCAACCTCTGGAAAAAGTACATCCATGATGAATTTGATCTCGTCACTGTGGGTGTGCTGTCCAGAATTGAAGTCAGGTGAGAGTGAACTGCATCAATCTGCTCCAAATCTTCAATGCACAGGTGCTGACTTGGCAGAATGCTTGAAAAAAGTGTAAAGCCACTTTGAATTATTTTGACCACTGCCTTGCCTTTCAAAAGAAAGAAAACATTTTAATTTGCTGACCCCCCAATACGATAACTCAGGCAGATTCATAATTAAAATGTTTTAATTTCATTTAAATTGTTTGAATGTAGGTTATCAAGAATAGAAATGTGAGCATGTGGGAATCTTACTGAAACAACAAACTGAGATGTTCAGAAACTAGTATACATACCCCTCTGTCTCAAACTGCTCACCACCACTCCCTGATTGCAGGAATGTCAAGCTAACAGAAATTGAAATGTTACAGGATTAGTATTCAGATCTTATTGTTAGAACTCAATGACCAGCAATAAAGAACAACAACTTTATAGCAACCTTTTAATAAAGAAAATAGAAAAGCTCACCTGAGGGAAATTGAATGGAGTGTTCAGCACGGTATAGAGGGCATACTGTCGACGTTATATGCCATAGGAACGTGGCAATCGTCTCTTAGTTGTGAACCTAAAGATGTCTCTGTGCTGGTCATCTCCAAAACCAGGCTTTGATTACTATACAGGGAGACTAGAAGGAGGATCTCTCTTAAGAGTGGCTTCTGTACCTACAGTATAGGGATGCATATAAAAGTGTTATAACAATCCATTTCACATTTGCATTATGATATTGGGGTAAAATCACCCTCCGTAAAACCGGCATAAAAGAACAATCCCTCCAAACCACAAAGTTTAATAATTACTATATTCTTATGAGCTACATCATGTAAAATCTTACACATAACAGATAATGATCTGGGTCGGTGGCTTGTATTCATGCAGGGAACACAAGGGCATCCTTCATAAAAGCATTATCCTAAAAAACACAAATAACACCAATAAAGTATACCTTTTATTTTACTTCTGACTTAGGGTAGATGTCAAATAGTATGATTTATGCATTCAATACTCACTGGAGAGTATAGGCTAGTGGATTGTGGCCAGGCCCGTAACCAGCTATGAGGCCACCGAGGTCCGGACCTCGTAAAATTTTTCATGTTCAAATATCAAATTTGTTCTTTGAATGACTAATTTGCTGTTAAACTCCTCATATGAATGCCTGCATGACATGTATAATTCAGTTTAGACAGTTTGCAAGAATGTTTAGCGTCCCTGTTATGAAAATGTTCGCTGCGAGACGCTGACGGAGTGAACGAGGCTTGAGAGAGTTGTGAGTGAGGGCGCGGGCGCAGCCTCTTATCATATCTTATTTGCAAAAGATTGGAAATAATTTCGGTTTATTTTTATTTATTTTTAGTTTTTTGTTTGTTTTAGTATCAATATCTGGCAACACTGCATCGCCGGCACTTAGGCAAGGCAAGGCTAGTTTATTTATATAGCACATTTCATACACAATGGTAATTCAAAGTGCTTAAAAAATAATAATGAAAAAAATAATCACAACAATAAAACAAGGAATTTAAAACTTTGAAAATGATTAAAAAATTTATTTAAGAGGTTTAAAATGAATTTAAAACCGTTAAGAATAGAAAATGATTATACATAAAATATAGTGCAATCAGTTCGGACATTGAGCAGTGCTCATTCAGTAAATGCACAGCTAAACAGATGAGTTTTGAGTCTGCATTTAAATGTGACTAATGTTTTAGCACATCTGATCTCTTCTGGAAGCTGATTCCAACTGCGGGCGGCATAATAACTAAAAGCAGACTCCCCTTGTTTTG